AGGGGCAGCCGTGAGGGCTGGCGGGGTCGGTGGTGCCACACAGCCGGAGCGGAGGGTCGCTGCAGCATGTGCGGGAGAAACGAGTTGTTTGGGTGTTTTGGGGGCCCTGAAGGGGATTTTGATATTAGAAGTCCAGCTCGTTGGCCCCGTCCCCACTGGTGTGTCTGCCCCTGCCATGAAGGGAGGGGAGCGGGTTGCGCTGGGGTCTCTCTGCTGTCAGCCAGGGCCATGGCAGAGCTTTTAGGCTGTGATGCCCTGGGGAGGGGGGCTCTCATTGCACTAAATGATATGTCTCAGTGATAACGCAGCTTTGTCTTCTCTGCAAGCCACGGTCCAGACCTGCCGTGTCGGAGTTACGTGCTCTGATGCACTTGGGTTTTCCCAGAGTCCGTCTTTACTTTTGGCTTATCCTTTCTGTATGGGCTGCAAGTGAAGGTCACTTTTGTGCAGCTTGCCTGAGTCTCCCCAGTGGTGGGACTAAAGATTCCTTCCAATGGAAAAGGTCATAGAAACAGGTTGTAGATGAAAGCTGAGGCAGGCTTCTGCGTCACACCGCCTTTGTTGCAGTGTACCTGGAGACGTATGGCTGTCAGATGAACGTCAATGACACGGAGATTGCCTGGGCCATCCTGCAGAAGAATGGCTACACGAGGACAAAGGAGCTGGATGAGGTAAGGTACCTTGGCTGCTCTCCTGTGGCACAGGTCTGCCAGGGCGTCGCACCACTGCTGTACCTGCAAGTCTTAGGTTTTGTCTGCCATGCAATCCTGCAGGATGTTGTGATATTTGCAGTCTAAGTTCTGTGGAATAAAGGAGGCTACTTACCAAGCGATGGTAGAAAGCTGTGGGTTGTTGGTTTTTTTCTTTAAACTGCTGGGTTTCCTCTCAGTTGGAGAGCAGTTGGACACAGCGGGATGCTCCTGACTCATCTTTGTCTGAGTTTACTTCTGCCATTTAGTGGAAGACTCTGCTTGTCTTATGTTAGTTTCCTGCACCTTAGTTTGTTGAAACCCACCGTGTACTTTGGCAGATCTTTTTCACTGACTTAAGTGAGTTTTATAGGCTACCTCTTCAGGTTACTTGTGGAAGGCATGAGTACTTATCGTTTGGCTTTTACATTTCTTCTTTTTTTGTTGTTTCCAATTTAGGCAGATGTGATTCTCCTTGTCACCTGTTCTGTGAGGTAAGGAAACTTTTGTCACTGCTGGTTTTGGACCGTTTATGAGGAATTACCATTTGAAAACCAAGGCAATAAATGTGTTGTGTGTGGAAAAGAACATGCAGATGTTAAACTACCTGATTAGTTGAGGGTAGAGCTAGCTGATGCTGCAATGTGTAACATTAATTGTGCCATGAATTGCTTTTCTATACAGTGAGAAGCAGCTCTTTGATAGTGTAAGCTCTGTGTATATGTCATGGGCTGTTAGAGACCTGCACAGGTTTGTGCTTTAACAATTTTTTTTAATTCCGTCTTCTCTTGAACTGACTGGCTCTGTAGTACAGAGTCTGTACTTCAGAAAACTTGGGAAATACATTTAGAGGCAATTTGGGTTATAAATATACAGGGAGTTTTGCTTGTTTTTTCTCAATGCAGAAAATATCAGATGCTCTTTGTCACTTTCAAGGTAGCTCATATTGGCTGGCTAAGGTAGACTTTTTCTCCACAAGCGCTTAGTCCCTGAGTTGTTTCTGCAGTGCAGATGCTCCCAAGCGAGTGAAATGATAGTAGATAAGATAGAGTCAGGACATAATCCACACACTACAAATGGCACTTTCATGTGCCATCAGATCTGTCAGGTGGACAATTCCCTGTCTTTAGTTGAATTCTCTCAAAGCACTTGGGCTGCTTCACATTGGGAAACTGGTAAAGTGCAACAATCGGAATAACCACTGTTCTCCTGACTTTCCAGGGAGAAGGCAGAACAGGCTATCTGGAATCGCCTGCGACACCTCAAGGCGCTGAAAGCCCGGCGGCAGCAGGCTCGTATACCTCTCCGCATCGGGATTCTAGGTACCTGGCAGGATGTGCAGCAGCGGGTGGGAGACATTGTGCCACATCCCATCGTGCTGCGTTTCCTCCTCCCCTCTGGCAGCATCAAGCCTTTTCTGCAGTGTGAAAGCAGCTAGTGAAGGGGTGCGGAGGTGTAACGGAGGGTGGGCACATCCTCACAAAGACCCTTCTTGTTTGGCGGCAGGATGCATGGCTGAGAGGCTTAAGGAGGAGATTCTGCACAGGGAGAAGCTAGTCGATATTGTGGCAGGCCCTGATGCCTATCGTGACCTTCCCCGGCTGCTGGCTGTGGCAGAGTCTGTCGAGCAAGCTGCTAATGTCCTGCTATCACTAGATGAGACTTATGCAGATATTCTGCCTGTCCAGACTAGCGCAGGTGGCACGACAGCGTTTGTGTAAGTACCTTTTTTTCCTGTGCATGTTTCTGTGATTCTGGTTTGGAAATATTGCTGTGCAGAACAGACGTGTCAGTGACAGCAGCTACCCAAGAGACGTAATGCCTGGTTGCTCTCGCTCCCGGCAGCCCAGAGGCATGAGGCTACCAGACTGCGTGTTTGCTGCTTCTTCGCTGTCTGACTGAGCCCTGGAGAGACTGCCCTGTGCTCTGGCTGTCTGCAGGCTTCTCTTACTCTCCTTTGAGAACGTTGATTTTCTAAGCCTGATGCTGCGCTGAGTGATTTCTGTCCCACTGATGTCTGTGCCTTTCTAAAGTCTATGCCTCTCTCATCTCCTGCTTTCTGCTATGTCCTGCCCCAGGTTCTCCTATTTAATTCCTCTAATCCTCCATGCATTGTAACTTCTGTTAGTTTAGTTTTGATAATAAGATTCCCGAACGTGAAATCAGACTCTGCTCAGTGTGGCCATAGAGTACAGAAGGACAGTATCACCTTTTGTAGGAAGAGGATGCAGAAGGATCTTTCATCACTGCCAGATTGCAGTGCAAGTCTGTGCCTCATTAGTTGCTTTCTAAGTTTCTTGGAAATGTGCGTGAAAAATTAGGAGATGTTAACTAGGGGCAAGCAGAAGCCTGCTTTGGCTGGAATGGTGTGTACGGGGAAGCTGCAGAGCTGTGTTCAGAGCTGGTGCTGTGCGGGCTGCAGGCCAAGGGAGTTGGCTGAAGGCAGCAGTGCTGGGCCAGGTCAAAGCAGGGCAGGATGCAACATGGATTATTCTTCCGGAGCGATCGTAGTGTGACCTGTACTTTACCTCTCGGCAGATCTATCATGCGGGGCTGTGACAACATGTGTAGCTATTGCATTGTGCCCTTCACCCGTGGCCGTGAAAGGAGCCGCCCCATCGCGTCCATCCTGCAGGAAGTGAGGATGCTCTCGGATCAGGTGAGGCAGAGCCTCCTTCCCACCTGCCCCAAACCGTGGGCGGAAGGATGGTTCTCAGTGGAAGTGTTTTCAGTGGTACCTTTGACGAATGACACCACCTTTGTCTGTGGAGATAAGGTTATCGGAGGGTTCCACCAGTGGCTTTTTGATTCCCCTTGTAATACTCTGAGACAGACAAAGAAGGGAGGGCCTCCCCTGGAGACCCCTTGAAGTAAGAGTAAAACCATGGCTGCCCTTGCAGCTTCGCTATCCTGGCCAGGTTATATTTTTTCGTCTCTGTTTATCTTTGTAGGGAGTGAAAGAAGTGACCCTTTTGGGTCAGAACGTCAACAGCTTTCGAGACATGTCTGAGGTGCAGTTTCAGTCAGCTGCTGCCCCAGTCCTCAGTCGTGGCTTTAGCACAGTCTACAAAGCTAAACCAGGAGGCTTGCGCTTTGCACATCTTCTAGACCAGGTTTCTAGAATTGATCCAGAAATGAGGATCCGTTTCACCTCTCCACACCCCAAGGATTTTCCTGATGAGGCAAGTGTAAAAAAAAAAAAAAAAAAAAAAAAAAAAAAAAAAAACAGGACCTCTATTTGCAGGCAGGCAGCTCTGAACTGATAGATGTGGGCTGTGCTTCCTTCCCAAAGGCAACACAGAATCACAGAGTGGGAACAGCAGCTCCTGGGAGGGGGAATGTTTGTGCTAGAGCTAGCAGGTTTGCAATTTGCTGGCTTTTACCTGGGGAAGACTCTTCCCCTTGGGATCCTGGTAGAGTTGAGCTGTCTATGACCTTGTCTCTTGATTGCTCATGACAGGTCCTGCAGCTTATCCAGGAACGGCACAACATTTGCAAACAGCTTCACCTCCCAGCCCAGAGTGGAAGCACACGAGTCCTAGAGGCCATGCGACGAGGGTGAGCGATGGCCATGTGGAGTCCTGTGCCCTACCCTCTAATTTAGGATGCTCGCTTCTCCTCACCAATGTTGTGGTTTTCTGATGAGCAACTCCACGTGTTGTTCATTGCAGATACACAAGAGAAGCATATCTAGAGCTTGTACACCACGTGCGTGAATCCATTCCAGGTAGGGGCTCCCTTTAACTTGGTCTGAACTCAGCACAGCTGTATCTTACTGTCCTTTATTGAGTGAAGTGTTCGTCTCTTCCTTGAGGGAAGTGTAAAGCTGTGTCTCTGTTACAGGAGTGAGCTTAAGCAGCGATTTCATTGCCGGCTTCTGTGGAGAGACAGAAGAAGATCACCAGCAGACTTTGTCCTTGCTGCGGGAAGTCCACTACAATGTAGGATTCCTCTTTGCCTACAGCATGAGACAGGTGAGTGCAGGACCTGATGGAGAAGACTCATATCTCTAGGTATCTCACCTAATTCCTGAGTGCTGTTTCTCACAATAAGACACTGGAGGGGGGGGAAAAAAAAAAAAGCTATTGAAAATAATACCTAAAGACTTGGTATATTGGTAGAGTTTTCTCCTTGCGTGCAGCGCTTGTAGGGTATGTGGTTCTGCAAGGGCCACCTTCATGCCTGAAAGGCTTCCAGCTCCCTTGTGTCAGGGTTGATTAGTGATTGGGTGACCTGGTTCTGCAGGTGCTCCAGAGTGTTTGCAATGAAGCAGCCATGTCTGCAGACACCTGGCTGCAGGTATGTTTTTCTTTGCTGGTGAGAAATTGTACAGATGTAGCTGGGCTACTCTGTCAGTCGAGTTGAGAGAAGTGAATTTTTCCATAACAAGAGTGGATAGTTGGCAAGGTTCTACTAGATTGCTCTCCAAAGTATAAGATGCTGATGGGGAAGAAGACAGGAGATTGGGAAACATAAGAATGCAAAGGAGTATGGATCATCTTTCAGCACATTGGACTTAAAGTAGTAGAATCTGTTGCCTGTCCTTGTGGACAGACAGGCAACCGACACATCTCACATAGGAGATGCAGAACTTCTTCACACAGCCATCGATACTCAGCACCCTACATCAAACCTTCTACCAAAAAGGTGGTGCAGAAAGAATGTGAGGAGCTCAGGGATGTTGTTGGTGCTGAAAACGTTCCTTGAGATTGTAAATACAAACTGTAACATGTGGAAAGCTGCTGCTTGAAGAGCAGCCAAGCTGTTTGGGGTCAGACAAGGTTCTGATCTCAGACTGTCTGGTTATTGAGGAGCCACACTTGTTTTGTCTGTTTACAGAAAACCCGGGCATATCACCGGCTGCAAGATGATGTGCCTGCAGACATAAAACAGAGGCGGCTGGAAGAGCTCATTACTGTCTTTCGAGAGGAGGCTGCAAGGGCAAATGAGGCGATGGTGGGCCAGTCTCAGCTGGTGCTGGTGGAGGGGGTGAGTGTTCCTGAAACAGAATTGTCCTCCCCACTTGCTGGCCAAGAGGCTCTTGGGCTGTACACAGCAATCGTCACTTCTGCGATCCCTCCTCATTTACCCCGCACAATCCTAGGACTTCAAGACTGTATCTTCACACTTAAGCAGACAGCCTGATTTTTCCAGAGCACTGAGCTGAGCACAGTGGGATGGGATAGGTTAGAGATGTGTCTCTGGCCCAGCACTGAATTAATGCAGGCTTTGAAACTGGCTTTGGTGTGTGGGTGTGAACACAGTAGCTCTGGCCGTAGGACTTTGTTACATGGCATACTTAACAATGTGGAACGTGGATTTTAATACTGGCAATAGTGCTCAATTAATTCCTGAGGCAGTAAAACCCAGCAGTGAATCAGAGCTATTGCCATGCAGGTAATGTTCCCTGTCCTCCTTTCAGCCCAGCAAGCGCTCTGCCTCGGAGTTGTGTGGGAGGAATGATGGCAACATCAAGGTGATCTTCCCCGATGCTGAGACAGAGGATGCTGCAGGCTGTGAGGCTCCGGTCAGAGCCCAGCCAGGGGACTATGTGTTGGTGAAGGTGACCTGCCTACAATACTTGTTTCATTGGGCTCTTTTTCTTGCACAGTGCTGTTCTCTAGAGCAGCTGCTGCCAGGAGAGCCTAAAATTAGAATGGATCCTCCTCAGCCTTTCTGTTTCCTGAGGACTGTTGTGCTGTTTCTTTCAGGTAACCTCTGCCAGCTCTCAGACCTTGAAGGGAGTTCTGCTCTGTCGTACCACCCTCTCCCGCTCTGCAGCTTGTCACTGAGGTGTCCCTGCTGCCAGTGGACAAAAGTGGCACATTTTCTGCAGGAAGAAACAAGGAAGCTTGGTCAGGTGGAGATGGGGTAGAATCAGGGAGATATTTTTTATTTATATATATATATATATATATATATATATATATATATTTCTGTTTTGGCAACAACCTACCACCCATAGATCTGTGCAAGTCTGTTGGCAAAAGGGATGGAAGCTGTGTATGGACTTACCAAACCCGAGTATCATGTGATCTTGTATTTTCCCTTGCTCTCAGGCTCGGCCCAGCCTTGCTGTGCTAACGGTGTGTCTTCTGACTTTGATCCCGTCCTCTACTGCAGCCCGGCCTGAGAAACGTGTGACTGCAGGGCAGGTCATTACTGCTAGATCAGGTGGAAAATACAGCTCCAGTAACTGCTGGAGAACAGAAGGAGTGCCAAAGGGCACAAAGAACTCAAAGAACAGGAGAAGATTGTAATGAATTCTTTCCAAATATTGGTAACTTCCCCATTGTCAAAATTCTTGGGAAGGGCAAGGAAGACCCTGCACTGTGCTGTATGATGGAATACGGCACCAAACTGTGGAATATAAAATGATGTTAACGTTCATGAGTTATGCTTAATCTGTTGTATCTGAGGCCGAGGGAATGCAACCTTACCCTTGCACTGGGCATATTTGGATCTAAGTTAGAGAGGAAGGATTTCCCTGTCTCCAGGCCTAAGGGGGTGCGCGGTAAGGACTAGCTGCCAGCCGAGGGTTATCTCTAGCTTGTTAAAACCTTAGGTGCAGCTTTATAATCCAAACTTCTGTGGATGTCCTTCGCTTTGCTCACTGGAAGGGAGAAATGGCCTACCAATTTAAATGGCCAATAACTTCTTTAAGTGCATCTTGCAGTTCCTTGTTTTTGTCAGCCTGTGGCTAACCCTGGCACACTGTGTTATATTCTGGGCTGATCTGCTAAATTCAAACGAATAACTCTAACCTGCGCTTGTAAGTAAACTTTCTCTTATGAGATGTGAGAAAGCATTATCCCTTTTAATATAGATAATCATGTTATTAAAAGAAATCATTGAAAAAGGCTCTCTCCAGTGACAAATTTTGCAGGAACAGCTGATTGACTCTTAATAGAGCAGTCACTACATGAATTTGCAGAATTTTTAAATAAGCATAAAAGGGTTTGGCTAGAAAGGCTTCCCTCCTGCTCAGCTCTTTCTGGGATATAATTGTTTCTCTTTGAAAACAGCAATGGTTCACTGAATACTCATCAGACCTTAGTTTAAGAAACAAATACATTCTGCTTATTATCTCAGAGCTGATTCTCTTCTTGTAGAAGTGAATCTGCACAATCAGCAGTAGTCACTGTGGGTGCTAACAAATACACAGTGCCGTTCTGCAGTCCTGCCCCCAAATGGGAAAGTGTCTTAGGCCCAAATTCACAAACCAGGTCTTAGACCTCTGCTTCCTGGAGAGTGTAAGCCTTTGGCTTTTAAGGAAGAGGCAGTGAGAAGCTGTTTGACTTGAAAAACCAAAGGAAGAAGCAGGATGTATAAGCATCACCACTCAAAAGTGACAGGCACTGAAGCCAACATTGTGCTTGCTAATTAAAACAACTGGGTAAGTGGCCCAGTTTTAACTGCCCTACAGTGTCTCTTTCAGCATATTTTTCCCATGCATCTTGAAGCCACGGCCCAAGCCAGCACCCCCTGAAAAGGGCTGGTACCCACCTTTCGCTGCTCATTTTGACCTTCTCCCCAAAAGCACCTATTCCAAGTGAGAAATGCAGACCGCAATGGGCCCTCCCCGCTCCATCCAGCTTTGAGGCCAGCTGTGGTCGTTTTACAATCATTATTTTAAGAGCAAGAGACTAATGAGGAGGAGAGTTGGGTTTTACATTTTGATGAGAAGGTGATAATGCTCGCTGCACAGACTCCCCAGGGAGCCATAGCGCTTAGCATTTGCCTCGCCTCCTTAGTTTTTATAGGCCTCAGGAATGAGGGCTGAGGTTTTAAGGCAGCGAAGCATCCATTAGGAAGCGCTTACAGTGACCTTGGAGGCTGAGTTCGTCATTTGGCAGTGCCTGAAAGCAGGAACGTTTTTTTTCTCAGGGGCTAGAGGTGGGATGTGGTTCTGTATCACTTGGCAGAAGGTTTGCTCCCTGAATTCAGCTGCGGGGAAAGCTGAACTCTCACATTCATTCTGCTTTGTGCTCATTGTTGTACACCTCTTTTCCCAGTCTGAGCAAGGACGAGAGTCCTGAACTCCACGGGATTTTTAAATCCCCCACGCTGATTTATACCTGCACCTTCTACAACTGGAAGCTGAAAAGTATTGCAGTATTTCGGTGTACCTCAGTGATGGAAGAGATTTGGTTTGATGGGATTGCTTCTGTAAGACGGCTCTGGGTCCAAACCAAAATACTGGTTAATGTAAACATGCGCTGTATCTCTGCTCTGTAGAGAAACATGGATCCAGGAATCAGTACCCAGACTTGGTAGAAACTTCACTATCTGGGATTTGTTATCAGCAAAGAGGCCTGTTAGGCTTTTATTGTCCAGAGCATAGTGTTTAAAACCCTTAATTTCAACCAATTTTGTAAGTATCTTCATACGATATATTTTATAATGAAGCTCAGTCCTCACCTCTTTGTCCCAAACTCTCAGAACGAGTTCTGGTGTGATCCTGAGGAGCCCCAGGAGAAGGCAGCCCTGTTATAGTTTGAAAGCTGGTTCTTACTCTCGTTCTTTTGGAAAACAGCTGCAGTCAGTCACTACCAGGCTCTACTTGCTTCTGGGCACGGGAGATGTTCCTCAGAGGCAAAATACTACTGGTGGGATGCTGGGTGGTATTTTGTTTTAAGGATGGCTCAAGAGTCGCCTTCAGCGAGGAGCCTGAGAGCCACTCTTGGTACATGCGAAACTGGACCAGGCTCATTAGGCGTGTGTGGCCAAGGTGGTGAACCCTCACTTGCCATCTGCAGGGCCGGGTGGCGAGGGTGCTGCAGGGGAAGGTGACACTCCATCAGCGAACAAACCTGCTAGAAAAACAGATTAAACTCCATCCGCTCAGAACACAGGCAGGAGCCTCCAGCCTGTGCGAGCCTCGAGGGACTTCAGTCAGATGCATAAACATGACACGAAACGGCCCTCGGGATGCTCCTGCATGGGCTGTGGCACCTCCTGGGAGCCCTCCGGAGCCGGTCACCGCTGTAGCTGCGTCAGTGAAGCCCCTGTACCTGGGGACCTCAGTGCATCATTGCAGCTCCAGCCTGGTCCAGTGTAACTGGTATGGAGTGATAAAAACTGGGATTTAGTGCTGCCAAGAACAGGTCTGTGCTGTCCTCCAAGCCCAGGCCAGCTGGCCGCAGCGACAGCGAGCATTGGGCACAGGACGGCGCTGCCGGGCTCTGCAGCCCCTGCATGTACCTTCAGCCACTTGGTTTGTTTTAATGTGCTTTCTGATTAAAGCGGAGTCTTTCTGAATGCAACCTCTGCTGCCAGAGCAAAGCAGCTCCGGGGAGCTGTTCTCCTTCACACCGCTCAGACTCCTCGACGCCCTCGAGTTCCCCTCCCAGCAGTATTGGGCTGAGTGTGTAGGTAAGTGTCAGATAGACCTGAGCGTTACACAGCAACGGTAATGGCAGCGCCAGCGCTCTGCCCTGTCACACGGCCTCTTGTACCAGTGAGGAGGCCCGTAACTCCATCCAGCCTGTCCCACCGCTGCAAAGCATCAGGATTTCTGCGGGGTGCTGTCTCCCGTGCTGGATGGGCTGAGCTGCGCAGGAGGACGCACTGGGCTGCAGTGACATCGGCATCCGGAGGGCTCAGCCAGTCCTTTCTGGGGTGATCGGAGCCCTTCCCAGCCTCACCTCTCCAACAGCTCCCTCCTTCCCAGGCAATTGTCCCACAGTCCCTCTGGAGAACACACAAACATTTGTTTGCCTCCATCCAGCCAGTCATGCCCCAGTTACACCCTAACGAGGCATTAGGCAGATCAGTTTTCCCAAGCACAGACCTAAAGTGCTGGGATGACATTTACTTTCCAGCACTGGCCGTGCCCCGAGGCATCTCCTGCCACCGGGATTTCGTAACACACAACCCGCACGCTTTTTTTTTCTGCTTGCAGGGTGTGTGGAGTGAGGCTGGACATCACCATGAACACACAAATAGCTTCACCTGGCAGAAAGGTTGCTGTCAGAGAGAACAAGAACCCTTTTGTTCTCCGGACCCTCATCACGCGGCCCTAAGGAGAGAACCTGTTTGTCCTCAGGTCTTGGCTGTGCTTATGGAGAGGAGGGACAGATGGCAGCGGGCCCTCTGAGCCAGTGTTGATCAGTCATGACTGCTGTTTATTGGCCTAAGGACAATCTCCAAATAGGTGTCCATCGTTGCCTACTCTCCCCCCACCCAGCCTTGCTCCCTTCTCCACGACTCGCCAAGCAGTGAAGGCAGTTGGGCTTTTTCCAGCACCAAGAGCTGGCTGTGGTGTGTCACGTCCTTCCCCAGAAACCCCAGTGGTCTGCAATCTGTTTTCCCTCTGAATATCAATGAAGCCGGAGGGAAAGACTGACGTTTTCCCTGATGGCAGCTTGTAAGCACAGTTTGCTTGAGGTCAGCCGAAGACCTCTGCTCGGCTGAAGCGGTGGCAGGTGACGAGATGCATTGCCTCTGAGCGATGCGCCAAGCAGCCTGCCGGGCTGTGCCGGGGCTGAAACACTTTCTTCCCTTTTCCCGTGGGTTTTCACTTTAGCAGACAGGCTTCACGTACTTGCCAGCCCTTTTTCCCCCAGGGCTCCTCCTCCTCCCTCCACCAGTACTGCTGTGGGCTGGAGGCCCACGGAGGATTCCTTTGGTGGCTTTTCATCACCACTGCTGAAGGTAGCTCTTTGTGTAAAGCTTAGGGATTTAATACAACATAAAGAACTTTTAAAAATGTCTTCCATTTCTAAAACCAGTTATATCTTTAGTTGACTCCTTCCTGGAACTGGCTGCCATCGGGTTCTGGCAGGAAGGT